GACATCCTCAAAGACAAACCCAACCGTTCAACCGTGATCGTTGTCCTTCTTCTTTTGGTCCTCGAGAAAATCAATGTGCACAGCTTTTCTTGCTGGTTCTCAGCAGGGAATGAGTTGGAAGCACCCGCCTATACATTCCATCCATCCGGAATCCACTTCCGGTTCATTTTCAATACCCAGAATCACCCCTTCCCAAGTTTTGAGGCTTCCATGTCACGGCTTCCTCTTGAGGGTTTTTTTTGCCCCTCAGAGGAAGTCGTGGCCACGCTTTAGGCCACATCCCCATCGCTTGGAGAAGAAGACCATGACGACGGGCGAGCGCCCGGGCAAAACCGAGTCGGGAGTCGCGAGTCGAGTTGGGGATGGGCCAGTGGTTTGACTTGGCGGTTCGGAGTTCAGAGCCAGCGAATGGTCCGGTCTCTCAGCTTTTTAAGCCTTTTAGTTGGTTTAGTGGTTGGATGTGTGTATATTGAACCCACAAGTTAAACTTTCAGCAGATCAGAAAACGGACAGCCCAGTTCAGCGTTCAGAGCTTAGGAACTGGGCATTGCAAGTTGTCAAGTAGCAATCATCTGGTACTTGGCGGCGATTTTTGGCACCAAAATCGCCGGCCAGTCAAACCATTCAAAATGGGCTTGGACCAGTGGCCTTGTGGCGTGCGGCCAGTAGTGAAGTGGGCTACATGTCGCCATCCATAGACCATGAGCATGGAGCAGACACATTGTTGCTGCCCCTCGCCATTTGCCACTCTCCACTGACAGATGTGCTCAGTGGGAAGCCCCCAGCTCTCGTTCCGCTTCAGGTGTCGCCTGTTTTTTTTCCTCATGCCTCGTCAACTTTGGGAGCATTGGCGTTTGCAGGGTGCATGGTTGTACCTTCATTTGTTATGGGGGGAAGGGGAAGGGGCAGGAGACTGGGAAGGGGCAGGGGCCGGGTCTCGGGAATCAGTCGCGGTTCTCAAGTTTACGGAGCCCTTGTGGACTTCTCAAAAGGCAGCAAGTTTTTTTTTTTTCTAAACGCGGCCCTTTGACAGCAATGGGATGTTTGCTCTTGGCGGGAGCCTTTCTTGGAACTCGAGGAACTCCTTCTCTCAACATCAGGAGTACTCCGCGCATGCGGCAGGCACTCGGGTTACTCTTGGTTTGGATTTGGAGTTGAATGGGTCCCTGGTTCTTGTAGAGGGTAAATGGGAAACCCCCAGGCACCAAGCCACGGATTCGGCTCAAAACCACCAATTGGTGGGAAGCTGGAACACCCAGCAACTCTGGGAATGGCCCGGCTTGGCCCCTGGTATGAATGAAACTGGTGATGGCAACCTTTGCAGAACTCGTTCAGGTTGAACGGAAGAGTCGTGGACGACTCGCCCGCATGACTTCTCTCTGTTTTTTGAGAGCTAGCTTTGTCCACCTCACCCCATGGTCCGGGATGCAAACCCCTGGCTCTTGAAACCAATTGGGAAGGTCGGCCCAACCGCCAACCCAGACGAGGCAATCAGGGTAAGATGATTTGGCCGTGGGTCAACACCAATGGTAGCGTGGGGTAGGTGCACCACCCATTTTAGAACCTATCTTAGTGGGAGTTTTGACCCATAGCCATTTGGTTACATCCTCCCCACTGGCACGACTTGGCACGGCCTCGCCGCGCGCCTTGCCTTAGGGCTGCGAGGGTCCGCTGAGCGGCGTGGCGGGAACCCATCGAACGTCCGACCACCCATCTAGGTGCCACTGTTTTCGTTGGGAAATTGACGAGGCTTGCAACCAGCTCAGTCACAACTCTTTTCCAACCACTCACATGGAGGATATCACCACAAAAGCAAGAGAAACGCAGCAGATGCTGAACTGAGCCCAACGGAACGAGCATCGCGGCGTCACAAGATTCAAGAGGCAAGGCCTCCTCTCCAGCGCTCCGGCGCTCGAGCGATGGAATGGTTGGGCTGCCATTGCACACAGGGCGAGGAGGAGGTGGTGTGGCCTGGCGCAAGAAGCGAAGGTCCCCTGAAGCCCCAAGCACAAGCCAGCCCAAGCGTCGGGTTTTCTGCGAAGCAACTCGGCATCTCTCAAAATGGGGATTGATCAGTACCAATGACGGATGTCCCTTTGGCTTTCGGTGTTGTTGTTCAGCGATCATTTCCTTCTGAGATGAAGCCGCCCAGCTGACAATCGAGATCATCATGGGTCTATCCTCGTGCTTGCACCAGCCTTTTTCTTCTAGTTGATTTCTCACCTGGCAGCCGGTTCAGGCATCCTTCTCCCTTTAACCGCAGACAGCTGTAACACGCTGCAAAACCGCATGCCTCGAGTAGCTTGGCCCACAGGATCTCAACGGACAGTTGACCCACGTGGCATGGGCCCCAGGGAACCAGCAAGTTGCGCTTTCCTTTCGGCTCTCCGCGCCAAAGGGCCCCCCAAGTTCCCCATCTTTCCCTTGCGGACATCCCTGACGAGCGCTCATTCCGTAAGGCGAGAAACTCATTGGGGATGGATGGGATGGCAAAGAAGCTGCCCCAGAGCCACCCGAGTTCTTTTTTTCGTGTCCCCCTTCGGCTGTCCGAAAAAAAAAAAAAAAAAAAAAAAGAGAAACAAAAACAAACAAAAAAAACGTGCCTACCGAAATTCAGCACCACCTAAGAAGTCTAGAATGATGATTCCCATGTAGATACCAACAAACAATGGTTTACCATGGTTTCAAAGTGGTGCGTTGCATGGATTTCACAACCATCCACAGAATCAAACAGCAGCCGGTGAAGCTGATTGAGCGTGTTACATCCTGCCGCTGGCTGCCGAGGCAGCCGCTGCCATCCAAAAGGCTGCGGAAAGCGGGGGCCAGGGTCTCCTGCCATGGTCAGAGCGGATTGTTTTTTTGGAGGTCGGTTGGGAGAATTCCAGTGGTGGAGTTGAAGTTGACCAGAATTTTGATCGCCATGCTTTGTCTATCTTCGAAGGCGCGAGTCCTGGGCTTGGTTCATAGGGATGTGCAGTGGATTTGGTGTTCAAAGGCTTTGATAGGAAGCATTTCCATACAACCCCAAGGGGTGGATACCCTTCATGCGGCCAAGTGGCTGGGGGAAGTGGTTTGGCCATCGTAGATTGTTTTTTGTTTTGGGCCCGCAACAGCCCTTTACATTTTTACAGTCCCCCAATTTGAGACCCACATGTCCGGTCCCCTTGAATGGTTGGCACATGACCTCTTCGGCCAATGTTGATTGAATTGTTTGTTGAAGGGTGATGCTCAAAGGGGACGAACTGACAACACTACCTGACTTGCCATGGTTTAGGACTAGCCTTCTCAACAATCAAACATGGCATCTGAATGAGGTGCTTAGAAAACAATCTTACCATCTAACTGTCAGGTGCTGTGTTTAGTGTGACTGGAGAAACCACATTGTTTTCGTATAACCAGACCCCGTTTCAGCAAATCGCAAGCTTGCAATCCGCTCCGCAGTTTTAAAACTTAACCATGCAGGGTACGTCTGGTGAGTGGGTATTCACCATAGCCATATCCCAGAAAAGCCCTGGTTACAAGCATATTTAGTGTGTTATAACCAGTCTTACCCACTTACTAGATACCCTGCACCTTTAAGTACCCTCCTGCCGATTAGCAGGAACCACCAAACAAACAAACAATTTGCGTCATCTCCTTTTGGGGTCCATCAAACATGTTTTTGGGGTTCATCAAAACAAATTTGGGGTTCATCAAAAAAAGAATCGGAGAGCAATGGGTTCAGGATTAGGAAGTCTGGCCCATTGGGATGGAACAGGGTGCATTTTTTTTCAATAAGTGGATCCTTTTGCCATAAGTGGAACAAAAACAATCCCTCTGTTACCCATGGTTTTGTGGCGAGTGGCAACGGTTTACTTTCGAAAAGTATTTGTTTCATCGGTTTCCTTTCGGCCTCCCTGTAAGTTCACCAAAGGGTTCAAACAAGTGATATACTCTTTAAGCAGGGTATTTGTTTTTCGTACACGCCGAAATTTGACTGTCATGCACGGACTTTGCTTAGGGCTCCTTAGTCCGATTGACAAACACAGTGTACAGTTTTCTTTTGTGGAATCTCTTCAAGAGCTGATTGTATAGGTCCATGTATGTCCATGTAGGAGCCCATGGCCATTTTGCACCCCAAAGGCGGGCTGATTCCCAGAATTAAGCCATAACCAACGGTTAATTATCCCACAAACGAGGGGCTCATACCAAGGGGTCATAGATGGACATGTACATTCAGCCTTTGATCTCTGCACTCTCTTTTTGAGTGCTCAACATTTATCGCAGCACATGGGTTTCCCACAAAATTAGAATGTCGGGGGGCTTGCAACTTGAGATCGCTGGGGGCGCACCAGTGGTCAGCAGTGGCTTGCAGCTACGAGCCAGCAGACCACGCATCGGGTGTTGCCGTGTTGCAATCCTGGTGGTGGTGAGAAAGCAACACCATTCCATGCCTGATGACCATGGACCCTTGTACCATCAGCTTGGTCTCGAATAGTCCTATCCCTCTCATTGCAGCCGTAGTATGTGCAGGAGCACTAGAAGAACTCCACGTGTTGAGTCCCCAGCAGATGGGTCTGTCTTTTTTGGAGTTGGTACCCCCCCCCCCCCGGTTTTTTGTGATTCTAAAGGGACTAAAGGGACACCAACAGGAAAACCAACACTTTTTTGGGGTCCAACCCGTATTGGATGTCTTCGTTCTAGACGGCACCTTTTCGGGGGCAATCGACCGACAGCATGCGTTTTAAGATTTCTTTGCGCCCTTCAATGCTGGCTTCCCTTCTGATTTCCCTTCCCAGAGCTGAGTCACACTCAAAACATCCCAGAAAGGTGTCTTAAAGTACGGGACACCAAATTGGGCGAAAGAGTTTTTCTCTTTTGCTTCTCCTTTAAAGTTGCAACCCGGCTTTTCCGGGGGATACCGAGCCGAGCAAGTCGCACATCCCAAAGGTTTGGGACTCAACAGGCCCGTAGCTTTCGGCGGTCTAAGGGAACCCCAGCATTCTGATTTTGGTTCCAACATGTGGATGTTTCTTGAAGAGACAACACGAATTCTGGGGCTTTCCCAGCTCGAAAGGGAAACCCCCAAAGCAAATTGGAACCCCATAAGAAAAAACATGAGACGCTCTTCTGAACTCAAAGTTGGAACCACCAAAGCTTGGTCGACTCAAAACACGAGGCGGAACCGCCGCTGTTTTTCGGGTCGGGCAGCTCGTCCGTCCGCCGGGTCGCTCGCAGGATGATGTCGGTGGAGCTGGAGCCCCTGGAGCTGCTGGTGGCCGACGAGGGCAAGGCGCGGGGGCGGGGCGACGCTGGTGGCCACGGGACCGGTTTCAACCAGATCCAAATCGCCATGGCTCAAAATTGAAAGGATCGGAGGGGCAAGCCGCAGGTTTGGGTCCATGTTTCCACTTACCAGGGCAACCCATTTTGGTACCGGTTTTTTGAGCCACATGAAGTAAGACTTGCTTTATATGGCGAGTTGGAGATCTCTTTGGATTTTCTTTGCGTTGTGGTTGAATTGAAGCAGGGCGGACTTGCTCGAAAATTGGAGCCGCGAAATGTGAAACAGTTTTAGAGGAGTCAACGGCGGCCAAGTCGTGATAGGCTAGTTGGGCTAGAAATTGATGAGTGTGTCTCAAAATTGGGGAATTCTTCAGGTAGGTTTCCTTTTGGTTTTCTTTTAAATCCGCACAACACGGGGTCTTTTTTTTTGAGACACCCCCAGCTGGGTTCCACTGGTTTGGATGGGTTTCTTGCCAGCCCGGGAAACCCAGGTCATTTTGACCCAAAAGGACACCGATGTTGGTGGCCCCAAGTTCCTTTGGTTCCAAAGAATCAGGCAGTTTGGAAGCATGGTTGTTGTTTCAACTGGAAACCAGAGGGACGTTCCACTTGTTTTGGGGGTTCCATGAATTGGCTCGGAGCCCGGTGGTTGGGATTTGGAGATTTGGATTTGAGCCTCTGGTTCTTGTGGGCGACTGGGAAGCCACCGTAATCACCAAACCAGCCTTCCACAAAACAGAAACTGCAGGGCAAGGCAACACAAGGCCAAGAAAAGAAATGCACAAACAGCAAGGAGACAAGAAGAAAAATCATGGAAAGGACCAACAATCCAAGCCACTATTTGGCAGGAGGCTGAAAAAAGAAAAAACCGCGTGGCCTTGGTTGGATGCTTGGGACACATTGGAGCCCCGTTTGGCAAGGTACATTTGTTTTGGGAGCACGGATAGGGCTTAGATCCTCTCTGGAAAAAGGGCCAACTTTGGTGGTTCAAGCTGAGGTGAAGTTTGATGCAGCAAGCTCTAGGGTCAACGCCAGGTGCGATTGCGAGTGGCCTATTGACTTGCATCATGGTTTGCACGATCTTCCTTGATTGCCATTTGGTTGGATCTTTAGACTTTAACATTTGGGAAATCAAGGGTTTCCCATTGGACCCACACTCAACCGCAACCAAGTTTTCAGGTCGTCCCCCCTTTTTGTGTCTCCGCCCGCTGCAAATAATCCGATGAAGATCACCCTCCCAACCTCAACGCGGCCTCGCTTGCATTGTCACGTCGCATGAAGCCAAAGCCGTTTTGCGGGTCGCGTATTGTCGATGCTGCGGGGAAAACACACAAAACAAACATGACGCTCCCAAAACTTGATGAGTTCATGGTGATACTATGGATGGACAAACTTTTGCACCACTTTGAAACCATCGCAAACCATTTTTCGTTGGTATGTCTAGGGGGAATCACCATTCCACGGTGTCTTCGGTGGTGCAGGATTTCGTCCCTCCACAGTATGGGGGTTGACCAATATGCCATTTAGCGCCCCCAAGCGATCATGGGGAACTTGTTTAATATGGGAAATAGCACCCTTTTGGTGGTTTTCAATTGAAGGCTCATCCCATGCAAAGGACCTTTTGATCAAACCCCGATATGTTTTAACACGGTCAAGATTCCAGATATGTTTTAACACGGTCAAGATTCCAACACAGTCAAGCCCTATAAAAAGGGTTGGCCCACAAATAAAGTGCCTGCTCTTTGGGTTTCCATTTCCACCGCCTTTGGGAACTTCGCACATCCGTGTCTCTCATTTGAGCGACACCATGTCAATAGTTGAAGTACCCTCCAAAATTGTTGGTGGACAGAATGTCACGTGCATTTCTGATGTCCACCAAAAGGGTCCAGCAGCTTAGATTTGCCACCCTTTTTAATTTATTTCGAGAAGAAACACAAGTCTCGTCCTGAAAAACCTTCAGAATAACCCCAAAGATCGAAGATATTCCTTTCGTTTGCCCTTCTGCCCCAAAAGACTTCCCCTTCAAACAAATACTTGTAAATACTCACCCCCCATTGTTGAACCTTTTCTGCGCCTTGAAAACAACCGAGTCCAAGTCCCCAAGGAGAACGCCCCCCATTTCTACTAGTTTTTTGGTCCCTTTGAGACACCACTCCCTAGAGAAAGTCGCCCCTTCGCCTTTACAGGCCAAAGGAGGCTCCCTGGACCGCGCCAATGTGGAAGGCGAAGCTTCGGGGGGTTTCTGGGGGTCAAAGTCAGCTGAACCAGCTGAACCACAATCAAAAACCCATTCAAGTAGAAGGTTCAGGGACTCCCAACCATAAAAGCGACGATGAACACCGATTGGGGTAGAAGGTGAAGGGACAGTCCCAACCATCCATGGGCGCCGCCGCCTTGGACGCATTCTTATGCGTTGGGAATTGCAATGCCGGGGGTTTGTGACTCAGCTGGGGTTTCCACGATCAACAAATTGCAGTCACTAAGATTGACGAGCTTCCGCTTGCTGAAAGGATTTTTTGTGGATTTCGAAATCCGAATTCTCTTACCACCGAACTCAGAAACCCAAGCGAATGATTCGATTCCAACCAACATAAATAACTTAGCAAAGGTTGTGGCTTCATTCCCATGGTTTCAATCTGTTGATTCAAAATCCAATTGATGAAATCATGAGGCCAGTTTGAAGGTTTCCGAGCAAAGCCGCCGGCTTGGTACCCAAAAGCCTTACGGGGCCTGAAGTATTTTGCGGATAGGGTTTGGGGGGGGGTGTAATTACTGTCAATGTCAAACCAAGTCAGGTCATGATACTCACTTCCTGAGTTCCTGAACTTTATACTTGTGTTTTAGTGGCGAATAAACTTTTCAGACTCTTTATTTGGAAGTTCACTCAGGAAGTGAGTATAAGAGATTCATGCGTGTAAGTATTTCATCTCTAGTTGTACCCCCTTGGCGCGATGTGGTGGTTTTCTTCCTCCTTGAACCAAAGAATTCTGCGCTTCCTTGGCAGTGGTTCTATGTGTTGTCTTGGATGACAAAAAAAAGTACTGAAGAGTATTAAAGGGTGTCAAAAGAGTGAACAAGCAGATCAACATCTGGGATAAATCCAAGGCTTCAAGCAGTTGGCTCGCCTTTCTCGGCCATTTGGTAAAGATCCTCTGTGTATCTTGACTGAGCAAACACTGGGCTGCAAATCATACTTTGAGTTCGCGAGTCGTGCAGCTGTGATTTCTGCTGGTAGCTTCTCGTGTTTTGTTATTTGTCGCCCGTTTTGTCAAAGTTTTCTGTGGTCGTGCGTTATCAAGCTGGCGGCATTATCTGTCCACTGTCCACGTTGCTGGCAGCCCACTAACATGGAACCTCCCGATTCTTGTCAGGAGAATCGTCCAAGCCAGGACCCCTCAACAGCTCACTCCCTCACTTCCCAGACTTTTAGCCACTTCTGGGGTTTGGACCATCTCCGCGGCAAACAGAACGAGCTCCTGGGCGACTTCTTTTTTTGGGCGGCCAAAACCTCGGAGGCGAGGGAAGGCGCCCAACCGCGCCGCTTCGCCTCCGCTTCGCCCGCCGCTTCGCCTGCAGTGGCCAAGCGCGTGGAGAGCCTCATGTCCTCCCCGGTGTCCAGCGGCCTCAACGGGCGCGGGGGCTCAGCGAGTGGGTTTTTGGCGTCGTTTCGGCTTAGTCCAGGTCCATGTGGCGGGTAGAGTTCATTTGTTGGTGCATTCTTTTATCTATTTTTTGGGAGTGGATTTGTTGGTACATCTTTTTTTTGGGGGGGGGTTGCCCTGTTGGAACCTAAAGGAAGCAGACTCGTCTCGGTACCTGAAGGAAGCCGCCAGTCGTGGGGGTTTTTCAGGGTCCGTCGCGCCGTGGGTCTTGATTTTAGTGGAGAAGAAGCGGACCGTCCGGGTTGAAACGGGTTGAAACCGGTGAGTCTTCTCGGTGATTTTCGGTGATTGATACCTGGTTTGGGTCGGTGTGTCCAACTGGGTGTGCTGTTTTTTGCGAGTTGGTACCTGTTTGGGTTGCTTTAAAGGGAGCCAAATGAAGAACCACCAATTGCGTCGAAAAGGAAAGCCCGGCATTTTGGGGTGTCCAACCTGAAAAAAGACATACCCGTTCAAACATTTCAGTGGGGAGAGATGCTGTTGTTTCCCCACGGTGTTTGGGGTGTCCTCAAGATTGGAACCAGAAGGGTTTGAAGACGCTGGACAGAATCCACTTCGTGTCAGTTGGGATGGATGAAATCCTGCGATACGCACCTGGTGCGAGGATTTTGTCCAACAGTAGGCGAGATTTCAGAATGCGGTGGGTTTCAGGTGGGGTCTCATTCCGTTCGGCGAACATGGGCGAAATCGCAATAGGCAACGTTATGGTTTCAACCATGGTTTCTTTGGTGGTGCAGGATTTCGTCCATCCACAGGTGTCCTTTTGATCGCTTTAGAAATAGATGGGCAAGCCGGGTTGAAAAATTGGTGTATCTAATACCGAATATCTTGCGGAAACAAAGGGGCGACGGTCTCAAACCCAGGAGCTCTCATTGTCAGGTGACTGAGAGCGGGAGAGCGGCACCCGAATGGTGAGATGCGAGCTTTTGGGACTAAGCAACTACCGGTACCCCTCTCAAAAACAAACCGGCACCTGCACAGTTCCTGGCAGACCATGTTTCCCTTTCTCGGGAAAAAAACAACACGCTCATTGGGAGGGTAAGGATTTCCCTTTCCAAGAGGTCACTTGAGGTTTCCCTCCCGAACTCTCAGCGAGGTGTTTTTTTGTTTTTAATCACATGTTCAGGAGGCGGTTTTTTCTTTTATTTTTTTTCTGGGACCTTTCGTGAGCATGCATGTTCATTTCTTAGGCATTTGCGCAAGCGACCGCGGAAAATCATTCGCGAACAACTCCTTGGACTCCTGTCTTCTCAGATTCTTTGAACGTCACATCGAATTTCGCCCCTGTTTGATTTTGGGAGGACAGCCCAATTCGCAAGCCTTGTTTTTTGTCATGCATTTGAGAGATCATCTGTTCGATCCCAAGCTGCTTACCACGAAATTGTCTGAGCCAGGACGTCTCCATGGCAAATGGTCTGTGGAATGACCTCCCGATGGCTGTTTTGGGGTCGTGCGGCCATCATTCTAAAGAAGCTGGCCCCGAGCGTTTTGGACTCCCCTCCGAGTCTGTTGAGGGGGGGGGGTGGTGACTTTCTTTTTGAAGTTGGGAGGGGGGGGCGTGTGGGGGACACAAAACCAAACGGAAGCAACGGAAGGCTGGACATGTGCGCTTCGTTTGTGCGGAGTTGTCTTTTTCGAAACCGAAGCCTGAAGTTTGTGAAGGATGGATTGCATGTCCTTTCCCTTCTGGCTGCCTTCACGTCTTTTCCCCTTCAGGGCTTTTCCTCAGCCAACTGTACGGACGTGTGAAGCGGATCAGGCAGGAGAGGAGGAATACGCGGAAAAGACAAGAGGCCCGAGCCAAAATGGCTACGGTGACATCTAGCTCCAGCAAGAGGTAGCCCCAGTGCGCTGCAAGGAAGAAGACAACAAAAAGCAGCAGCAATTTACCGAAAAGAGGCCGGCAGCAAAGCCAAGGCCTGATCTGCACCTTGAGCCAAAATGGCTACGGTGACATCTACTTGTAGCTCCAGCAAGAGGTAGCCCCAGTGCGCTGCAAGGAAGAAGACAACAAAAAGCAGCAGCAATTTGCCGAAAAGAGGCCGGCAGCAAAGCCAAGGCCTGATCTGTACCTTGAGCCAAAATGGCTACGGTGACATCTAGCTCCAGCAAGAGGTAGCCCCAGTGCGCTGCAAGGAAGAAGACAACAAAAAGCAGCAGCAATTTGCCGAAAAGAGGCCGGCAGCAAAGCCAAGGCCTGATCTGTACCTTGAGCCAAAATGGCTACGGTGACATCTAGCTCCAGCAAGAGGTAGCCCCAGTGCGCTGCAAGGAAGAAGACAACAAAAAGCAGCAGCAATTTGCCGAAAAGAGGCTGGCAGCAAAGCCAAGGCCTGATCTGTACCTTGAGCCAAAATGGCTACGGTGACATCTAGCTCCAGCAAGAGGTAGCCCCAGTGCTGCAAGGAAGAAGACAAAAAGCAGCAGCAATTTGCCGAAAAGAGGCGGCAGCAAAGCCAAGGCTGATCTGCACCTTGAGCCAAAATTGCTGCCGAAAGAGGCCGGCAGAGGCCTGATCGCAAATACGGCAGCTCCATTGCGCTGCAAGGAAGAAGACAACAAAAAGCAGCAGCAATTTGCCGAAAAGAGGCCGGCAGCAAAGCCAAGGCCTGATCTGCACCTTGAGCCAAAATGGCTACGGTGACATCTAGCTCCAGCAAGAGGTAGCCCCAGTGCGCTGCAAGGAAGAAGACAACAAAAAACAGCAGCAATTTGCCGAAAAGAGGCCGGCAGCAAAGCCAAGGCCTGATCTGCACCTTGAGCCAAAATGGCTACGGTGACATCTAGCTCCAGCAAGAGGTAGCCCCAGTGCGCTGCAAGGAAGAAGACAACAAAAAGCAGCAGCAATTTGCCGAAAAGAGGCCGGCAGCAAAGCCAAGGCCTGATCTGTACCTTGAGCCAAAATGGCTACGGTGACATCTAGCTCCAGCAAGAGGTAGCCCCAGTGCGCTGCAAGGAAGAAAACACCAAAAAGCAGCAATTTGCCGAAAAGAGGCGGCAGCAAAGCCAAGGCCTGATCCGTACCTTGAGCCAAAATGGCTACGGTGACATCTAGCTCCAGCAAGAGGTAGCCCCAGTGCGCTGCAAGGAAGAAGACAACAAAAAGCAGCAGCAATTTGCCGAAAAGAGGCCAGCAGCAAAGCCAAGGCTTGATCTGTACCTTGAGCCAAAATGGCGATTTGCCGAAAAGAGGCCGGCAGCAAAGCCAAGGCCTGATCTGTACCTTGAGCCACAATGGCTACGGTGACATCTAGCTCCTGCAAGAGGTAGCCCCAGTGCGCTGCAAGGAAGAAGACAACAAAAAAAGCAGCAGCAATTTGTCGAAAAGAGGCCGGCAGCAAAGACAAGGCCTGATCTGTACCTTGAGCCAAAATGGCTGCGGTGACATCCTAGCTCCAGCAATAGCCCCAGTGCGCTGCAAGGAAGAAGACAACAACAAGCAGCAGCAATTTGCCGAAAAGAGGCCGGCAGCAAAGCCAAGGCCTGATCTGTACCTTGAGCCAAAATGGCTACGGTGACATCTAGCTCCTGCAAGAGGTAGCCCCAGAGCGCTGCAAGGAAGAAGACAACAAAAAGCAGCAGCAATTTGCCGAAAAGAGGCCGGCAGCAAAGCAAAGGCCTGATCTGTACCTTGAGCCAAAATGGCTACGGTGAAAAAGCAGCAGCAATTTGCCGAAAAGAGGCCGGCAGCAAAGCCAAGGCCTCAACAAAAAGCAGCAGCAATTTGCCGAAAAGAGGCCGGCAGTAAGTCCAAGGCCTGATCTGTACCTTGAGCCAAAATGGCTGCGGTGACATCCTAGCTCCAGCAATAGCCCCAGTGCGCTGCAAGGAAGAAGACAACAACAAGCAGCAGCAATTTGCCGAAAAGAGGCCGGCAGCAAAGCCAAGGCCTGATCTGTACCTTGAGCCAAAATGGCTACGGTGACATCTAGCTCCTGCAAGAGGTAGCCCCAGAGCGCTGCAAGGAAGAAGACAAAAAAAGCAGCAGCAATTTGCCGAAAAGAGGCCGGCAGCAAAGCCAAGGCCTGATCTGTACCTTGAGCCAAAATGGCTACGGTGACATCCAGCAAGAGGTAGCCCCAGTGCGCTGCAAGGAAGAAGACAACAAAAAGCAGCAGCAATTTGCCGAAAACAGGCCAGCAGCAAAGCCAAGGCCTGATCTGTACCTTGAGCCAAAATGGCTACGGTGACATCTAGCTCCAGCAAGGCAAGAGGTAGCCCCAGTGCGGCGCTGCAAGGTGACATCTAGCTCCAGCAAGAGGTAGCCCCAGTGCGCTGCAAAGAAGTAGACAACACAAAAGCAGCAGCAATTTGCAGAAAAGAGGTCAGCAGCAAAGCCAAGGCCTGATCTGTACCCTACGGTGACATCTAGCTCCAGCAAGAGGTAGCCCCAGCGCGCTGCAAGGAAGAAGACAACAAAAAGCAGCAGCAATTTGCCGAAAAGAGGCTGGCAGCAAGCCAAGGCCTGATCTGTACCTTGAGCCAAAATGGCTACGGTGACATTTAGCTCCAGCAAGAGGTAGCCCCAGTGCGCTGCAAGGAAGAAGACAACAAAAAGCAGCAGCAATTTGCCGAAAAGAGGCCGGCAGCAAAGCCAAGTCTTGATCTGTACCTTGAGCCAAAATAGCTACGGTGACATCTAGCTCCAGCAAGAGGTAGCCCCAGTGCGCTGCAAGGAAGAAGACAACAAAAAGCAGCAGCAATTTGCCGAAAAGAGGCCGGCAGCAAAGCCAAGGCCTGATCTGTACCTTGAGCCAAATGGCTACGGTGACATCTAGCTCCAGCAAGAGGTAGGCCAGAACAAAAAGCAGCAGCAATTTGCCGAAAAGAGGTGGGCAGCAATACCTTGAGCCAAAATGGCTACGGTGACATCTGCCTCCAGCAAGAGGTAGCCCCAGTGCGCTGCAAGGAAGAAGACAACAAAAAGCAGCAGCAATTTGCCGAAAAGAGGCCGGCAGCAAAGTCAAGG